AATATGGTCCTGTGGGGCTGCTACGGGCTCACCTATTGCAGTGGAATGCGCATCGTGCCGCTTCCTCGAGTGCCCACCTTCCTTTGGAAGCAACAATCCCAAACCGAATTCGCGGGGTAAAAATGGTTGATAATGTAGTTTAGGTCAAAAGTTAACCGACAGTGAAGAAAAACTGAAGAAAACGCCGAACAGGGACTAGAACTCCCCTCTCTGCCACTTAGCAATGGAGGAAGACGCGTGTTGGACGAGTTGTCTGAACCTGCCAATACGTCGAACGAAGCATGCTCCTGAAAAGTAATTCGGAAGATATAGCGATCATTCGAAGATTGCCTTCCCCGCGGGGGAAAAGGTCAAAAAACTGCAGCACCACACCGACTGCTTTAAAGGACGAGTTGAAATACTCCGTGTGGTCCCAAAATGTCAAGAAAGCCTCCGCAGCCAATCACGGCTGGCAAGTGGGCGTTCCCGAAGAATTTCCAACCACACCCATTTTGAGGAGTTTTACGCCCTTTTTGCGGCTTTCCCAGGTGAGTTTTCTTACAACTTACACTTCATATGTTCTCCATTAGGGCTAGTGCATCCTTTAATCCCAATAGTATTGAAAGCAGCAGGCCCTGCTAGGACTGTTGCTTTAAATGTATACCGCGGAACTCTAAAGGCACGCTCCGCTATTTGGCACAGTCACCTGTTCCATCCCCAGAAGTGTAGACAGGTGGACAAGCGTTAATGTCGCGCCAATACGATTTGAAAATTCACGACATGTTCCGCATTATCGCACTTTCCCTTGACAACACCAGCCCTTGCTCGCTGCAGGCACATGGACGTACTGTGTAAAAGAATTCGCACGCGCATGACCTCTCCTTCAGATATTTTGTGGGCACCCACTGGTATTCCACGCTTTGCCGCGCCTTGTAGACATCGCTGCTGCATCTTCTTTTTTTAGTGCAAAGACACGACAGCATAAATTCCCATCGACAAGATAAATAAATTAAGTTAAATTGCTCAAAATAAGGGGATAGTTGCTGAGAACACTTGACTTCATATTAGTTTCCATATTGTACACCAGTTTAGCTCCGCCCGCTACCGCGCGCATTGATAGAACTGACAATCGATGAAGCTTTAGGTTTCACCGCTAAATTATAGCTGCTTCGTTAAATGTATTACTGTCCGTTGCATAGGCTGCCCATCTTGGCTGTATCTCACTGTTTGATAAGCGCAGTGAAGTGCACAGCTAAAGTGATGATGTAAACAACCACTATGCGTCGAGTATCGAGGTAATTTAGCGGTCGAATATCTCAAAACGGAATGCCCAGTATTCATTATCATATTTATTCGAGCATCCCATTCATCCTCAAGAACTCTAGAAGGTGTAGCGGTCGAAAGGTGTTTGAGTTTACAATTACAACGCTGATGAAATGATATTGAAATGAAAGGCATTATCTACAATCTGCTCTCTATTTTCTATTTCAAGTGCTCTCTACGTTCGTACGCATATCGTTACTATCAGTCCTCATCAGTCGTTATCACTTTCTGACCCCACCAAATATGTTCCCGTCCCACCCCCTATATCATATCTTGAAACCAACTCCTGACGACCACTGGTGCCCGAGCTATGAATTTCCGGTCAGACAGACAAACACACACACACACACACACGCACAACCGCTTAGCCGATTATATATAGTAGGATATTAGTTTTTCTTTCGAACAAGTTGTACTTGGCCAGACATGTTCATCGAAAATCCGTGGAAGAAGTTGCAAGTCGTTGATAGAAGATTAAAAGTCAGGAATATAGGCGATATACCGTAATCTTCGGTGTAGGAGCGTTGGCACTGGGCGCGCAATGTCACGTGTCATCAATTTTCCATGCGTGCTCGCCTCCCAGTTCTCGTTTTCTCTGCGTTCTCTCAACGAGGAGAAATGTGTCGAGCGAAACTCGCCAACCGAGCGCCGTTTATGTAGGAGGTGAAGAATGTTATATCAAGATGATGATTTAAGGTTCAGGATAGGTGGCAGTCATTCATAGCTCGACCAGGGGAATACGCTAAGAGAGGTAAGAAATCTTGCCGCAGCTCCAGAATTTCTTACCGGGCTCATTTCGGATCATGGTGATTCGCAATGTCATGAAAGAAATGAATATTGTCGCGGTACGAGGGCTCCTGACGAGCTGCCTCGGCCAGCTTCTGGAGTTCCGCAGCCTAGACCTCTACCTACACAATGGTGCCCATAACGAAGAATTGTAGTGGAGCTTCCGTAAGAGCCCTACCTGTAATGGAGTGTGTGGGACGCTGCTGGCTTCTTATAAAAATATCAAAAGATCGAAAGCGCTGGTAAAGGTGAAACACGCTGTAGCGGTGAACGGCATGCCTATTGAAGCTATTGCAGATAGTGTCGGTCGTTGACACGAATCCATAGTTATGGAGACATTTGTACTAGACAGTGACTCGGAGTATGGATTTACTAGTGGTCGAGGTTTTTTGAATTTTCTTGGATAACTACTGACTGCAGCACTTATATCCACCTCGTGGATTGAAGCCTCGAGAATGCTCTACCATTTGTTAGTCATAAATGTTACCTATGAATTTTTCAGAAAAAAAGAAAATTTTAGAAAGAGTGTCGCAGAACTTTCTTTCCAACCTAATACATATGCCGTTAGTATTACCATAATCATGCCACTGCAACATTGATAGCGCAAGTCCTGCGAGCTACCCAGATTTGTTAGCGGCTTGTTTATTCCATTAGCTGCCTCACTCACTTCATTTTGCGGACGGACACACAGACATGCAGGCATACATACAAACCGACACATCAAATTAGCGGTTTATGAAATAAGAAGGAAACCTTGGCCGCCCACTATCCTCAGGAAAAAAATCATCCTTCTGCAGCAAGTTTTATTTCATATAAATCAATTTAGGCTTCCATCTAGCGCAGACTGGAGGCTTTCGCAGAAGTGATTATGGCAGTCAAGTCGCTTACTATTAGGGAGCACTCCCAACGGTACAGGAGCAAAGCCATGGTACAGGGAATGCCGTCTGTAATTTGGAGCTGGGCTTGGGAAGGATTTGAAATTTCAATTTTAAGAGCTTCAATGTACTGTTTAGCTTAGTTAGTTTAGTTTAGCTCACTCATAGATGTTGGCGATTTGGACGTACCACTCACCGACTATCATCATCACAACTGGCACCGTAAAGCAGCATGGAACACGTTCAACAAACATAGCAACGACCTCATCTACAGATTGCTTGAGCCTCAGATCAGAGCTCAAATGTTCAATACACATGCCTTACCTGCTTTAGTGCGTGAAAGCGAGACATGGAACACAACTCAAGTTGAGGACAGAAGGGTAGCAGTTACTCAGAAGGCTATGGACTGTACTTGTGCGCAGTATCGATAATGAGTAAGCTTTCAAAGGAATCTGAGGACTAGCCTGTGTCGAAGACGTCACGAACACCATTTACTATACGAAAAAGAGAAAAAAAAAACATGTTGCTGGCCTTCACAATATTCAGTGGACGTTCCAAGAGAGCGCATGGTCTCCACAAAGGGAACCCACAGGTTGGTGAAGTGTCCTTTTGAGAAGTAATTTTCTTGAAGATTGTTGCAGTTTGCAGAAAAGCGATACGAATAGCATCAGTGTGTCCTAAGAGGATAGCGCAACGACGCTTGAATAACGCATTCTAATCGAGGTACAGCTGGTAAAACAGAGGCTGCTCTTTAGTAAAGATGTGTTTGTGCACAAGTAAATGGAAATGTGAGAATGCAAAATTTTCTAGCGCTTGGAACTTGAACCAACAACTATTTGCATTGTAATTCCGGCATTGGGCCAGGGCTGCTTAGGAGGACGAAGAGGAAGGAGGGTCTTCTAGCGGCTCAAGTTGTAATATGGGGAAGACCGTTTTGACAGAGAACTCCGTTCCTGAGCGATCACAACCGAAGGCAGTAAGGGGTGTGACTATGCTCTTTGCGCTTCACGTTTCGTACAAAAAACATTGTTTCTCTAGCCTACTATAAGCTTTGAGCGTGGTAGTTAAACACTTAATCGCTGTAGCCATTTACATACACGGAAGCAGACATTTCACTTCTTAGCGTTCGAAATAATCCGATCTGCTCGGGAACGTTCCCTGATCTATTGAGAGGGAACGCTCCTAGTGAGGAATGCTAATCCTGAATATTTATCTGCCGTTTTCAGTAACCCGTTGAGCCTTTATAAGGGGGTACAGACAAGGCTCATCTACCGGCCTTACTCTTGGCCTTCAATATTTCTTCACTTGGCCCAGCGCCAATCACAATTTCCTTTTTTATTACTGCTATGATCGGCAGGTAGTACCCAAGCGAGGGCATGTACTGCTTGCTGACGAGTTACAGCCATAGATCGTTCCCCATCACTGCTGCGCTTATTTCAAAACAGTTAGGTCTTTGAATTTGCAGTGAGCACTAGGAATCCTCACCGTTCGAAAAAAAAGCATAAAAAGCCACGAGCCGTTCAAAGGTTCTTCTATTACTGATAGCTTCACCTCCACAACTACTAGTAGGAAATCTTGCCGCGACCAAAGGTGTCTGGGTTTGTAATCAGAAGAATCACAAGAATAATAAAACCGATAGAATGAATGCCCGTAAAGTTCTAGGATTGGAGTCCTCTGCCGTTCAATGTTGATCTGTGAGGTGGCTCCTACAGTTTTGTAAGAGAAAAATCGTAGAAAGTGCACCAGGCCTGTCTCCAACCTGAGAGGGCGAACCCATGAACATATTACATAATAGTGATCTTCTCAAATTCTGGTGGTAAGCTCAGGTTGATGCCTACTTGCTAATATTTTCCGTGATTTAAGCATATATAATGCATACTCCTATCTATCCACTCAACAGAAAACAACCAGTTTCTTGTCGTTATAAAAGCAGTCGCATTATGAAGCCCTCTCTTCAACAAGTAGCCCATATGTATGGTTTAGGTCATGCTCTTCGAAAAAGTTGAGTAACCTTTAGCGAATGAAATTATTTTCAGGATGGATTCGAAGCCTTGCCAAGCCGTTGCGATTGTCGCCTTACTCCTTCTGCTTCTCGATGGTGGTTTTTGTCTTTCAGATAATGGCAGAACATCCTTGATAAGGGTAGGTACAAATAGAGCTCCTAGTGTATGCATTGATAAAATGCTTCCAGGCCCTCCGAGGAATCGATCTTGACGAACGCCTCGAAAGACTGAGGAACCTGCGCGTGGTCGACATGGATCAGAAGTCTTCCTTGGCGGCTACATCAATGAACACCGCAGAGCATGTTAGGACGTTTCTATTTGCAAGGCCACAATTCCATTTGATAGTGAAACCGCCTGATTTTGTTCACTTTAGGAACCAACAGCATCGAATGATCTATTTGGAGGGGGATCAATAATTGAGAAAAATCGCCTGGAAGGGGTCGACGAATACCTGTACGAGGGCGACATCAATCTCACCGAGTAAGTCCACATTACGTATTCGGGGGAAAGTGCTTGCACCATGTGAATTCTGTCCTTCTCGTGAGAACGTTTGAAGAGAGCCATGCCGTCTGGAGCAGAGGTGGCCATGCCTGAAAATGGCAGGCCAATCTCGAATAGTACTGGCGGCATTCTCTTGTCTACTCAAATATCTCAAGTCCATCGGCTTATTTCATTGGCAATGAAGCTTTAGTAAAATTACGTCAAAATAAATTCTACTAGTATGCCGGAGCTCCAAAACGTCCCTAAATTCCCTTCCCTAACTTTCCACAACTGACTCACTGGCATGTTCTTCTGGAAATAGCTGGTTGACTTTGCAAAAAAACTTTGCGATGATCTGACAATTGGAGGGTACCCCCCAGGAGGCCCGTCGCGCGGCAAGAAGGCAGAGTCGGCGGACGAGTTGCAGCGCGTGATGTGCGATGTAGGACGTGCAATGGGACACTCTTTAACTTGACGCGAAATCCCTATAGTACGCGCGCAACTCGTCCTCTCTTGCCGCGCGACGGGCCTCCTGGGGGGTACCCGACAATTGGAAGTAACAAAATGTAAGCGCTAACCTTAGCACTCACATCGAGTACTGCCCACCAGTCGCAATCGCCTTCTCTCCTTCAATGATAGTCGCAACGAAGCAAGAAAAGTTCGCGATTGGTTACAATAAACAATGAGCAACGGAAACCTCGGCACTAAGAAAGTAAGTAATATCACTGAAACCGGCAAGAAGTGATATTCCTCCAGTTATTATGTTACTATCACCTACCTGAGAAGGATTCCATACCTCTCAGACTGTAATAAGCAAAACCTCCTTTTGCTTAAGGAGTGGAGGTGGTGTGGCACCTCTTCCTACGCGCACGGTTAGGGTCGAATTCGATGTTATCCAAGCCAACCAGGCCGCCTATTCCTTCGGGGGTCGGTCATTTCGCGCGAAACTTATTTGGAAGGATAGAAATACTGACATGTACACTGAGTGGCTCCTGGTAGTCATCGTTACCTAAACTGCGACGTAAAAGAGAAGCATTATTCGGGGATGTCGAGGTTTTCCTCGTTTTTCTACGTGATCATTTCTTCTTTAGCGCTTCCCGCGAAGTTCCCTTTTCTGGTATGCTATTGGCACCAATTTCCCAGGTTGGATGCATGGCCATGACAGATTCCAACTACGTTCTTTACCGAGTTCCCTTTTAGATGACCATATTCACTACTATATTCTCCAAAAAGATGGCGTAGAAAAAAATTCGAATGGCTTCGGCTGATTTTTTTCTGCGCTTATAACATTTGTCACTCATTGAGTTACAGAGAACAACTCTCCGCACTTGAAGCGAGTCTGAATAGTAATACCACTCGCCAAAAACGGCAAGCTTCGAAGACTGCTCCGCTATGGGCAAACAAAAAGGTCTTCTACTACTTTGACGCGGCTTTTGGTAGGTGATTACGTAATCGAATCGAGTCATGGTTCACAGACCAACAATCGCGTTTACTTCTTCCCTTTCAGGTGATCCCATGAAATCCCTCGTCAAGAAAGCGCTGAACTATATCAGCGCTCGCACATGCCTCACCTTCGTGGAGAACGCCACAGCCGTTAACCGCATTCGTGTATTCAGCGGAGATGGATGTTATTCGTATGTTGGTATGATCGGAGGTGAACAGGAACTATCGCTGGCTGATGGTTGCAATACGGTAAGTTAATGGTAGAAGAGAAGGCTCCTAGCTACTCCCAGTTGAGTGTCCCACAGTTCGCGTACACGTGGCTTCACATTTCTTCCAACCTACGTGAAGCTAGACCTGATCTCACCAAATGGTAGGGCAGCAGGAAGGAAAAGGAGGTAGTACAGATCACACAAATCCTGAAACTTCCACAATATTCCAACATTTCACGGACTTTTGCGAAATTTCATGAAAACTTCCCAGAAAGTCTAATGAATTTTCCGATATGTGTACACTTCAGCCCTACCTTCCCCTCCGAATAGCACCAAATTGAACTTGTGGTTGAGGAACGCTTTCGACGTTGCTTACCTTGCCCTATGAACGAATAAGAAAGGAGGAGAAGATTATCATGGATGACTCGATAGAGGATTAGATCGATCTTAAGGATAGTTCATAAGATAGGCAATAATTGCAGTTGTCCCCACTTGGGGCAACTTAATTTCACAGAGGCTACTCCGCGATTTTCACGACGGACGGTCGAAACAACGGCTTCTATCCTGCAAATTAGCTTCTCCAAAGCCATTTCTCCAAGTGTAAAGTGTGAATCCGAAGGCTTTCAATGTTTTAGATTGGAATCGTTGCTCACGAGTTCATGCATGCCCTCGGTATATTTCACATGCAAAGTCGATCGGATCGTGATAACTTCATAACAGTTGATATGACAAATGTTGCGGTGAGTCTTACTATTACAAGTTTCCATACTTGCGAGGAACTAGGTTACCATGCCATTCAAGTAGAAATGTGGAGGCCCAGACGTGCCTTCAACCGCTGTCCTCAAATCTACCTTTTAAACCTGGTAAGCGATTTTTTGAAAGGAGTTACAAACAAAATAGCGCAACGGTAGTGGTTGGGATTCAAAGTCGTAGGAGCTGCCTCTTGTCATTCTATCTGGTTTGCTTTCTCAAGCAAAAACGGCAAAGTAGGCTGGTGACAGTTATTCGAGCTGATTTCCCGAAAAAGAAGGGAGAAAACACTGACGAGATTGATCCGATGGCGTTTTGACTATGAGTCACACACTGCCGTTACGCTGTTTCGCTTAATGGCTCGTTTACAGAATCGTTCAGCAGATTTGGAAGTTAGAACAGCGTTCGAAGACACTTCAAGGGGTGTACATCTCTTCCTGAATGTCCATGGCGACCTAAGACCCTTCGTTGTTAGCATTTCATAAACCTCAAAGAGCGGTGCCATAGCTTTGGAGAAATTCCTCTTTCAAGTAGAGCCACGCAATTTATCATCCAGTGGCAC